CTTTCCCTAAGCTCCAGTCTCGATGCTGCAACAGCTCTATGGAAAAGATAGTATGCTGGATATGACATACAGAGACCAAGTCCAGGACAAGGCCATTATGTAAGTTAATAGCGTTCCAAACAGTTGTCAATACTTGGTGACCTACTGAAGTACCACTTTTCATTATGTGGTACAGTTGACTATATTTTTAGCCTATTTTCCTACAGAACTGAAGTTTGTGATCACAGAATCACAGAATCGTTTAGGTTGGAAGGGACCTCTGGACATCATCTAGTCCAACCTCCCTGCTCAAGCAGGGACCTCTAGAGCATATTGCCCAGGATCACATCCAGGCGGGTTTTGAATATCTCCAGCGAAGGAGACTCCACTACCTCGCTGGGTAACCTGTTCCAATGCTCTGTCACCCTCACAGTGAAGAAGTTTTTTCTCAGGTACAGATGGACCTTCCTGTGGTTCAGTTTCTGCCCGTTGCCTCTTGTCCTGTTGCTGGGCACCATGGAGAAGAGACTGGCCTCATCCTCTTGACGCTCCCCCTTCAGATACTTGTACACATTGATGAGATTGCCTCTCAGTCTTCTCTTCTCCAGACTGAACAGGCCCAGCTCTTGCAGTCTTTCTTCATAGGAGAGATGCTCCAGTCCCCTCATCATCTTTGGTAGCCCTCCGCTGGACTCGCTCCAGGAGTGCCATGTCTCTCTTGTACTGGGGAGCCCAGAGTTGGACACAGCACTCCAGGGGAGGCCTCCCCAGGGCTGAGGAGAGGGGCAGGATCACCTCCCTCCACCTGCTGGCAACACTCTGCCTAATGCACCCCAGCATACCATTGGCCTTCTTGGCCACAAGGGCACACTGCTGCCTCATGCTTCACTTGTTGTCCACCAGCACTCCCAGGTCCCTCTCGGCAGAGCTGCTTTCCAGCAGGTCAGCCCCCCAGCCTGTACTGCTGCATGGGGTTCTTCCTCCCGAGGTGCAGGACCTTGCACTTGCCTTTGTTGAACTTCAGGAGGTTCCTCTCCGCCCACCTCTCCAGCCTGTCCAGGTCCCTCTGAATGGCAGATCTGCTTGTACAGCTGTTCCTGCTACCTCTGAAACTTTTGAATAATCAGCTGATTTAACAGAGTCATGGCAGTTTCCATATCTAAGTTTGATGTGAACTGAATTGTTGTACTTCCCTTGCCTGCTTTGACAAAGAGCAGCCATTTGCCCAGTTAGACCATGCATAAATCCATGCAGCATCGCCACATATTGCTGCTTTCCTTGGGGTTTGGGAGAAAGCTGTAGTATCTTGTAGGTGAGGTGAGGTGAAGCATTTAGATGGAGCTGGGTGATCTAAAGGGGTCTGTTCTTGTGTATTCAGGATTTGTGCCTCTGAAACCCAGATGGTTAGTTCTGCTGAACATAACTTAGATAACATAGGCTTTTAAAACGCCTTACTTTCTTTACCATGCAGAGGTTAGCAACTGAAAAATTAAAACGAGTGACACCTGATGTTTGTCTTAACAAGATACAAAGGACAATTCAAAAGCTGGTAATACAGTAACTTACTCATTTTTTAATCTTTAAAAAAAGAATTAAAAGTTAAATGTAAATAGTTACCCTTCTTAAAATCCCAATTCTGATATTATGCTAGGTACACATATCAGAAATAAGGGGTAAAAATTGGCTTCATTTTGTCACACAAACTTGCATGCTGACTTTTCTGGAAGAAGCTCATTGCCCAACTTATGTTCTATGGAAAATGTTGATATATGAACTTAATGCAATTTTTTAGCACGGTATAGGCAGTTCAAAGGAAAGGTAATGCCTCTCCTTATGTTTATATAATATCTACTACAAAATAAATTCCAATCTGACTGTAACTTTCTAGGCAGTCTTAACCAGAACAAGATTCTGCTAGACATTAACTCAAAAATGCACACCATATTCTTCCAACTGAAGTATCATGGATAAGTAGTAGCAAATGACAGCTTTCTTAAAAGGGTATTTCTGGAAAATAAGCTTTCTTGAATAATCCATTTGTTCGTGTGTAGAATAATCCATTTGTTCATGTGTAGAACAAATTTGATTTTTTAGAAAACCAATTTAAACAACTTCATATTTGTTTTGGCTAACATTCTTTCCTTAGTATGATCATAAAACAAACTTGTCTATTTGATTTTTGGTCAGTTGTTAATAATGATTTTCTTTGGTTAATACTTGAAGTGTGATTATGAATATTTCCGGAAACTAGAAAAAAATATAACATTTGAATGAAAACACTTCTAAAGGCATCAGGATTTTCCAAATGGTTGTCCTTTAAGATTCTGTTTTGTTTCTGTCAGTTTTTGCAAAGCTTCTGTAGAGTGGTCCTGCTAAAATCGGTTATATAAAGAAGAGAGGTGGTAGGATTCTGTAGACTGTTGATTACAGTGCTTTCGCACTTGAAAGGCAGCTGAAGAAAGGGAGGTAATTGTTACTACACTCTTCAAGTCTGTCAGAGCTACAGTTTTGAGATCAGTAAATACCGTACAATCTTCCTTTTGCTTAAGTAACGTGTGTCCTATTCCTGACTGTCTAACATGAGAAAGTGCTAGTGAGTGAAGTTTGCCAATGGTAGCAAAGGTAAGCAAGCACATGCCTTAAAGGTATCTAGGCAGGGACACAGGTTAATAATCACATACACTATTTGGTGAAAGAATGTGATTTTAACTGATGTATGTGAGCATACCTCAGTTTTATGAGCATCAGTAGAAAGTTGCTATTAACGTTATGTTCATACAGTCAGCAAGTAAAGTATAACTTTTTTTGCTACTCAAAATGTTGCTGCTTCTCTAGTTAAGAATGTATTTTGTTCCTTTAGGTAACCTGGCATGAAATTGCAAGGCCTCAAGTACATGGGTATGACATGCGTTGTCTGGCAATGATTGGCCGATTTCAGTTTGTATCTGGAGCAGATGAAAAAGTGCTTCGAGTTTTTCGTGCTCCCAAGAATTTTGTAGAAAATTTCAGTAATATCTCTGATATTCCGATAGAGAAGTTACACTACCATGTAAGTTCTCAAACAATGCTAAATGAGGCTAGCCCTCTTCTATGTAAATAAAATTAATGCTTTAGAGAACATCAAATTGCATTAAAGATTCTTTTAATACTTCTGAAACCTTCACCTTATTTTTTCATTCCCTGCCATTTGCTTCCATGTGTCTTGTTTCATGTGTATTTTTATGGTGTTGTCATTTAAAACCAGTTATATTTGAAATAAAACAAAACCTGGTCTCAGAGATTGCAAAGCATAGGGTAAATTGTAAGAAGTCAGCACAAGTAGACTGCTGTAGGCAGTTAGTGATTTGAAAGCAAACAAAGCCTGGGAATGTCCTTAATTTTAGGGTTTATCCTCAATTTTAGGGTTGTAATACTCTTGTCTAGACGTAATTATTGTTATGTAGTTGTATGTTATTTTTAGTTATCTGCTTTGAAATAACAAAGCTTTCAGCACTGGTGTTAGTTGCTGTATGTAAATATTTATAAGCATGTATTTACTCGTGCTTTATTTCCTCTTGGCGGTAGAAATTTCCTAGTGAGGCCTTTATGTCCCAGTTCTTAGGGCTACAGTTACTGTAGATAAGTATGCTTTCCTACTCTGTGAAAAATAAGACCACAGAGCTACTATCCTTTGTTTGCTTTCCGTTCAGGATATAATTCTGCTTTTCTCTGCTTTTTGTAGAGCAGTTTGTTCAGGATAGTTACCTGGGCACAGTGCCTTGTGTGCTCTTTGCATTTCTGGCACAAAAGCAATGTTTTCTGTGCAGTTTCTCAGACAAGGATTAGCCGTTCCACTTCATTTAACAACAAGTATCTGGAAAAGAAATCTATTCATTTTTGATAGCACGAAGTTACATAAGTAGTTATTTATTGCTTTAGTTTCATGAGTCTTTGTAAGCAATTGCATTAATGACACTATGCAAATTATATGGTTTTTATAACGCAGGCAGATGTCATTATTTTACTTTTATGTAGATTTTCCTTCTTAGCTCTTCCTCTGCGTGCTATTTTTAATCTATGTCCTAAAGAATTTTACAGAGGCTTTGTTGGAAGAGAAAGGCTTTATGAGCACTAATGATATAGCTACTTTTAAATAGCTTATTGAAATTAGCTTGTGTGAATGCTTTTTTTCTTATTTAAGTGTGTAAACTTTTCCTTAATTTCTCTTAAACAGCTGCTCAAAAAACATTTAAAATCAAAAAGCCAATTTTATATTTGAAAAGAATTGAATAGGATTATATTGAGTTCAGATGCATAGACTTCTATTATACCTTGGCTTATAGTGAAGAAACATTTTTGTTGTAGAGGTGTTAGAGTCGTATGTGTGTGTCGCACATTTTCTCATGAAATTACAGACATTTAAATGAATAATATACTATTTTAAGCTGTCGTCTAAATTATTAATCCAATTCTGTAAAGTAGCCTTTGAACTTTTCAGATACTGTAAGGATGGGATGTTACAGCTATTAGATGTAACCTTTTCCATCCCTGTGCAACTGGCCCCGAGCTCACTTAGCCCTTCTAATTTTTGTCTTTTCCCCAATACCTTTATGGAAGTAGTTTTTGGAGGATGATCTTTCCTCTGTGCTGCTCCAAACACGTCCCTGTTGTTTACTGGATTGACTTTGAAATCATGGGCACAGGCTGCCACTTTCCCTCCCCTCTTCAAAATGCATCCTTCTTATTTCACCCCAGCACAGATGATTTCCCAATTATATTGTGATAAAAACTGCAGTGTTCCAAGTTAAGTAATCATCATATATATCCTAGAATAAATAAAATTGTGATGGAAAGCCTATATGTAGGAATGAGGATGAATGCTTTACAGCAAAGAACCTACTATTGAATTGAGGAATTGAGGCCTTACAAAGGCTTTTTCTGGAAGAATATGGTTCATATATTTTCTCTGGGGTATGATGTGGAGGAATCGGCAGATTTCCAAAGTGCTCCCCCCTCACTTCTCTCTAGCAAAGTCCCTATAAGAGATGGAATGTCTTTATTATAGAGATTCCATAAAGTATGTCATTTGTAGTCTAGTGCTACAGAGCAATCTGTGCCTAACTTCTTTTTCTTTTTTTTTTTAATTCAGCACTCATCTGACCTCCCAGAAGGTGCAACTGTGCCAGCTTTGGGTTTGTCCAATAAAGCTGTCTTTGAAGGTATGGGTAATGAGAAATAATGGTGATGATGCTTCATCTGGAAACTTTTTAAAATAACTATTTTTAGTCTGTTAGGTCTGTCATTGTATGCTTGACTGCAAGTTTATAATCTAGAAACAGAATTGTGCAAAGTGTTTATTGTCTGGTAGCACGTAAATATGAAACAGAAAAAAAGAAAAAAAGAAAAAAAAGTGAAAGTGAGCACAGATAATCTCCTAGTACTGGCAAAGTCAGAACAGTTCTGCTGCTAAGATACCCAGTACCTTCAAGTCACAATCCCAATACATAAAAACAGCTTCAATGTTTCTTCATGTTTGAATCATATCATGTTCTCCACTTCTTCCTGTACTCACAACATAAGTATGCTGAAGCATTTCTGCTTGTCTGTATTTGTGGATACACTAGCTGTAAGCTAAGTTGATTAAGTTCAGGGGTTTTGGTAAGGTTTTTTTAAATACTGTAGTGGACCATGTATATTTGAGTGGTAATATTATTTCATTTTTTTTTTATCAGTTATGCTGCTAGGTTGCTCTCTCATTGGTGGTTCCTTTGTGTAGTGTATTTGTTGGAATTGAAATATCAGACCCAACAAGATAATGGCTATCTTCGTTCTACACCCACAACACAGAGGATTTCTTGGCTTTCATTGAATAGGTCTCTTAAGTAACCTGTCATTTGGTGGGATTGTAACCTGACTCTTGCATCACTGGCAGGTCAACATTGTAAGCTATTGGCTACTTGTTCCTGTTCCTTCCTATAGCTTTTAATCAAGACTACTTAGTCTGCAATTAGCATATTACCTTTGGGAGGACAAACTTTGATCCTTGTGGTCAATCCAATTCTGTTTGCTCAGAGGGGGATGCTTGCCCTCACTGTATGCCCCAAAATTTTGATTTCCTGACTGAATTTTGGCAGTTCCCCTTCACCTCCCCATCTCCCTCCAAAATGTGTACTTTTGTGAATGAGCTTCCATAAATCTTTGGATGTTAGCTGTTTTGTTTGTGCTGAAGGACAAGACTTTAAATAATATTCTTTGTTAGGGATTGCTGAATCTGCTAGCCTAATAGAGATGAGACTGCTGCAGCTCCATGCCCCCAGATCCATCTGGTAGTGAAGCTGAGCATTTATTCCCAATAGGGTCACACACAAACACATGTATACAATATATATATACGTATACACACAGCCGGCTACACAGATCAATACACACAGAAACACTCAGCACTCACACAAACAGCACCAGTGGCCTCATCTTGTTCCCCTTTCTGACTGATCAGGATGAAGGTCTCTTAGCAGGAAATCATATGTGTATATGATGCGGATCCTCCAGTAGCCGGGCTTAGACACATGGTCAATCCAATAGCTGGCCCCAGGTCCCTGGTCTCTGCAGTTGCTGGCATCTGGATATACAAGCCCCTGAGACTCTCAGCCCCACTCCAGCTGCTGGTGCAGACTGCCTTGCACACATACACAGGCACAAACTGTGGATCCCTCCTGTAACTGGATTTAGACAGTCCATCCAGTAGCTGGCCCTTTGATCCTCATGCTCCCTGGTTGCCTGCTGTGCAGAGACACACGCACATACAAATAGATCTCTCAGTTGACCTTCAGACCACGTGATCTCTGAAACCACTTACCCTACTTGCTGGCTAGTCTGGCTTGATGTTCACTAGCAATCACACACTAACGTACATACCTTCACTGTTTTCAGTTGTTGGCACGTCAGACACAGGTCTCTGTGACCTCATGTCTGACTCCAGTTGCTGAAACTTAGATCTCTGTACATGCACATGTACACAGAACAGAGAGCCCCCCTCACTAAAGAAAGTTAGAAATGGAGTTTAATGAGAAGACAGGACAAATAGCAGTGGTCAGGTACAGGATATGGCCAGACAAACATAATGACCAGCAACCTGTTTACACACGACCCCTTTTGTCCTCTTATTCCTTTATTTTCACATACTTGTTCTTCCCCAAAACACCTTGATCCCTGCCTTTTCCTGTCTTTGTTTTTTCCTCTAAACATCCCATAGTAAGTCATGTGCAATCCCCAAATGTTCTTCCCTTGTATTCTGTAATGTGTCTCATATCCTTGTAGGCAGTAACCCCCCTCAGTCTGTAAGGCGATTTGGAGAGTCTCTCCTGTTGGCTCATCTGGATGGGTTTCTCCCCTAAACAACGGGGCTGATGCCCCTCCTCTGATTGGCCTTGGAGTAGATGGAGTATTATTGGGGTTCCCCCACCTGCCATTGTTCCTCTGTTTTCTCATCCCTTCCCCACAGATGGCTAGAATCAATCTTATCAAAAAATTAGAATTGAATAGCTTACTGTGAAAATGAGGTTGAGTTTTTAATGCGGAGCTATCTGATGCTGCTTGTGTCTCTGTAAAATATCTTTATTCTTGATCTGCTGAGCTATCTTCTCAAGCCCTAATCACACTGTCCCTGAACGTTAACACCCTTGGCTTATAGAAGTAATGCTGTTTCAAAGGGGATAAGTCAGATACTCTGTTCCAATAGGAATAACCATAAACCTCTCCCAGGTAAATGATGCTCTGTGAACGTATTTTGGAAAGAAGAATAAGTTAGCTAATAAGTAGTAGTGTTTTGGCTGTAAAGGCGATGAGGCACTAGATGAGTTTCTTGGTGAGATGGTAGAGACCCTTGTGTGAGGAGACCACGAAGCACAAACACCTGCCTTGAATGATAAATACAACAGAATTGAGTCTGGGGATGGGACTGGAAACATGATGTTTATCAAAGTCTGTGATAAAATACATGTAGAATGGAATCCACAATTAGGTTGGACCTGTTTTTTCTTCCTAAAGTCTAATCAGAAGGTGTAACTTCAGCATTCTGTCCAGGATCTTCAGTGTCAATAGAGCTAGGCTATCATAAATTTTCTTGGAGAGGAAGGTAGCTTTGCTGTACTTGAAATAGTTTTTGCCAAAATAAATTTTATGAATTATGTTCTTTTTGCTGTTTCATAAGTCCTTCCACTGATAGAAGAAACTAAACTTGTCTCCTAAAGTATCTTCACACACAGAATAACTAATTTCAAGTGCTTTGGGGTGGCACATTCAGCAGCAGTACTTTGAGTAGAAAAGGTGTCCAATTTTCCGGCATTGTCCACCATTCACCACATTCTGTCAGCATGAATGGCTTAGGTTAAAGCCCCATAGAACTCAGGAACATTCTGACTTTGCAGAGGGACCTTCATGGTCAATTATGGTCACAGAAAATGGTCTTAAGTTAGATAAATGCTGCCAATTTCTTTTTCAAGAGAAGAGAAGGCAGAATGGATAAGAAGATATTTTTTCTGTTCTGCTAAATTCTCTGTATCTGACCACTTCCCCCCCCCCTTTTTTTTTCCTTACTGCTTTATTCAAAATATATGTTTGGCAAAAGGGCAGATTCTGTTTGAGAATACCTTTTTCCCAATTCTATATCTTATTCTTAAATAATACTTTCAAAACAAAGAGTAAAGCTGAATTTTAACTTACAAATTAACTGAGTAATTTCAGTTAATTTATTACCTTTATCTAAAGTTAAGGGCTCAGGCCTTGACAGTTTTGCTAAAGCTTGTAAATTTTAGATACATTTATGCAAGTTTGACTCTCTATTTGAGCGTATCACTTACATTTGGAAGTTTATCACTTGTTTTTGAGATTTTCTTGCCTTAAATATTTTAAAATATAGAAGGAAAGGAAATTTTGAAACTAATAGGTAGTTTCTACTTGTATAATACTTGGTCATGCTTTTCTTCCTGTCAAGTATATAGTATATATTCCTGTCTCTGGCTAATGAAGTCCTTAATTTAAATAGGAGATATGGCTATTCAACCGGCTGAGGATGAAGAAACATTTAACACCATTTCTAGTCAATATCCTGAGTTTTATTTTCAACCCTTGATCCTTACAGGTATGAGATTCATTTTTATTATACAAAATAGCGAATGAGGTTCATTAGATATAAATTTAGAGCAGAATTTTGCTGATTTTTAGACTATTTAGCACCAAATTTGAACGTGTTGTACAAATGTCTTTTAGAACCTCCTCCAGAGGATCACTTGCTGCAGAATACCTTGTGGCCTGAAATTCAGAAGCTGTAAGTTAAGTTAAATTTTCCTTTTTTTAATTTGCAAAATTTCCAGAAAGCTATTACAACATGCTACATCTGGTCTTGTAGCTCTTCCTGTTTTATTACCTGATTTGACTTTGTGTGCAGCAAATTACTTGTAAAGTAAATAAATATATAAAAACAGGAAACAATACAGAAAATAGCAGTTGGATCTGATTTTTGTTAATAATCTATCTCATTAGATGTTGCTGTAACAGTGAAATATGTATGTTCCAGCATTCTCCTGCTCAATTTCTAATGATCAGACTTTCATTGTACTTTCAGATGCTTATCTTTTGAAGGTCTGTTTAGGGCACAGATCCATGTTTTTATTTCCTTGTTCCAAGAGATAGTAACTTTTCAAGTCTGCTCTAAGGAATTACTGTATGCTTTCATGATCTCAGCTGTACTCTGGAATGTGATAGGCCTTTTTTTCCATGCTATAGACTTTGTGCATCTGCTTAACGCTGCCCGTATTGAAGGTTTCTCTGCATGAGGAGCTTTCTGCTTCTTTCCATTTCATAGTACAGACTTGCAGGTCAATTCTGTCTTTCTGGTATGGAAGTAATGCTGCTAGTAAAGGTTGAAGCATCGAATAAGGAACTTTCTGCTAAAAACTAACACAGCTGTAAGATGAAATAGATAAAAGCAGGACCCGAAATAGGATGTGGCTGGTGGCAGAGCAAAGTAATGATTGTTGAGTAAGATGGTCACAGACCCTGTTTGAATATTGTGGGCCAACAGAATGAGTTACAGATCACAAAGATGATAGGGTTGATACTGATGACAGATGATACTATTTTGAGGTTGCAGCATTTTAGAATTTTCTGTTTTGTTCCTTCTTATCTGAAATTCACCTTAAGTATTCACTTCACAACAGTTTGCATATTAAGGTTATAACCTGTATGTTTCCTAAGAATCTCAGCAGGGTTAGACTACAATTTGACAATCCTTAAATTTTTCATAATTGCAGTCTTCTGCTGAAAGAGCTGGACTTAGCTGTGTTGCTGCCCCCAACCTGTCCCTGTGCAGTGAATTGTTTTTTTTCCTTAATTTAGTTTTCAGTCAGATCAGTTCTTTGAATCTCTTAGCATGGTTGCCAATGCCTTGGACTTGACAGGAACTGGAAGGGAGAATGGGAGCTGGCCTTTTAAATGCAGCTGCTTCATGGCTATTGAACGTGAAGTACACTTTCATGAATATTTAAGTGAACACTTAAATTTGTCTCATTCCTGATCTTGATTCTTTAGCACAAATGTACGGGTTTTTTTTCAAGCTCACAAGGGTTTATTTATCTGAATCTCCCAAAACAGTGGCCTCAGTCAGAAACAAAAAAAATGTCGAGCCTTTACTGATGATTGCATCTACCTTTATATATTACCATTTTTTTATTACTTCAGTTGGGGAGTGGGAAATAACAAACTTTGGGAGAACAGTTTGCAAGTTACTTTCATTTGAGAGTGAGAACTTTTGTGTGAGCTCATCTTTACATTCAACTGGGCAGTTAATCTACTCTGAGTACTTTTAAGTAAGGTTTTACAGTTAGGGTTGGGTTTGGGTAAAGGTAAGGATTTAAGGTTGGGACTCTGGGTTAGAGTTGGGTTTGGTTTGCATTTGGGGTTGAGGTTAGGGTTTAGGGCAAGGATTGGGTTACAGGCGGGGTTAAGATTTAGTGTTTCTTGTTAGGGTTTAGGATTAGGGTTGGGCTTTGGCTTTAGGATTAGGTTTAGGGTATAGGGTTAGGGGTTGGGGTTCTGGTTTAGGGTTAAGGTTAGGGTTTAGAATTAGTGTTAGGGATGGGATGGGCTAGTGTTAAGTTAGTAGTTTGTGTTATGCAGGGTAGGGTTTAGGGTTAGTGTTAGCAGTTAGGGTTAAGGTGTGGGTTTAGGTTAAGGGTTAGGGATAGGATTAGGTTTTAAGGTTATGGTAAGGGTCAGGGATAGGGTTTAGGATTAGGTTTTAGCATTAAGTATAAGGGTTAGGGTTAGATTTTTGGGTTACTATTTGGGTTAGGGTTTAGGGTAGTAGAAGTAAACAGATTGTGATATGTCTGTACTTGATGAGGCTGGAAACAGTGTCTGTTGCCCAGTCTCTCTGTTCAAGAATGAACTGGAAAAGAAAACAAGAAAAACTAAAAAATTGAGATCATCTAAAGGTCATGCAAGTTAGTAGGGATTTGTATATTTCTTAAACATTCCTATACTTTTTCTAAAAAAGTGAGTTGCGTGGTGCAGATTTCATCCTGGAATTCTTATGGCTTTTCATAGAACAGACAATTAAATATTTATCTATAATTTTTTTCCCACTGGTATTTAATTGTTGGGTATCTATTCCTCTTTTCCCCAGAGTATCAGCACATCTCTTTTAGCTGATACTTGCCCACTGTTTCCAGATTACATCTCCAATTTTTTTCTACTTTAATCTATTTTGTGTGGTTGTCATTTATGTTAGTCTGTGTGGTGCTTCTGCTTATAAATTGAATCCCAATCAGAATACGTGAGCTGGAATTCCAGCAGAACTTGTATAAAGACAGATTAAAAATGTGTTTCTGGAGGAAGCTGGAAGTTATAGTGTTGTCTTCCTCTTCTGACTTAATTCTTGTCCTCTAGTTCAGAAATGTTTACTCAGTATTTCATAGAACAAGCATCCTTTAGCTGAGGTATATTTCTTTGGTGATCTTCAAATATGTGGCTTCATTTTTTTTTTATTGGTGGTGTTAAAACTACTTTACAGGAAACTAAGAATATATTAAAAACTACCTTAGTGTGCTTTATCAACAGACAGTTCTCATATATGAAAGAATTTATGTAGATGTTTAAGTTAAATGCAGAACACTATTAGGAATTATACGGCATGTTATGCAATAACAGTGCTGAAAAATTCCTAGCGGTTTTCTTTCATTTCTGCAAAGGGTTGATATTAATATAAAAGTCTTGATAAATATCACAAAATCGACAGTGATGTGTTAAGTATCATCTTTTCACATTTATTTCAGATATGGACATGGATATGAAATTTTTTGTGTTGCCTGCAATAATTCAAACACTGTAATTGCCTCAGCATGTAAGGTAAGAAAAGATTTTAGCACCATCTAGTGAAAAGTGCTGTCAGATTTCTAGGGTTGTTAAAGCAGGAGTCAGGATTCAGTTTGGGCTGAATTCTGCTCTTTAACTTAATGTGAAAGATTTTGTATAAATGATAGTTACCTTGCAAAGGTGAGAGTGAACATGCAAAATTTAGTATTCCTAAAGGATGTATAATTCACTTGAAGATTTTGAGAAGAAAAATTTTATTTTGTAAAGTCTAACAAACATTGACATAAAACATTTTCTTATTAATATATTGTCAGTATTAATAGGAAGTTGTTAATAATGTGTGTGAAACAAACTTGAAACTTCCCAGAGGAAAGCTGACTCTAACTTGACTGCAAGCCTTAAAACAAACAAACAAACAAGACCTCTAATACTGTTTTGGAACTTTTGTTTTTTGTATTTGCTTTCTTCAGTTCACACTAATACTGTTTCATCAATACAGGCTTCCAAAAAAGAACATGCAGCAATTATTTTGTGGAGCACTACTTCTTGGAAGAAACTGCAGAGTTTATCTTTTCACAATCTGACTGTTACTCAGCTGGCATTTTCTCCCGATGACAAACTTTTACTAGCCGTTTCTAGAGACAGGAATTGGTCACTGTGGAAGAAACTACACTCAGAGTCAGGTAGGATATGTGAAATGGATATGCATGTTTGAAGACTTCTAGACTTGTTCAATATTTTTGACTTCAAAAAGTTTGAGAGAGAATTGATAACATATTTTAAGTGATTTTTTCCTTAAAACTTTTAAGAAAAATTAGTGCTGCAGGCTGGTTTGACTTTGAGTGCAGTCATGGCATATAGAAATGCCACAAAGTGAATTAAAAAATAGAAAGTCGATAATCGTATATCCAGTGCTATTTAAATGGGGGATGTAATGAAGTCTGCCATTTGTCGTGCACTCTTCTGCTTGTGATTCTGTGTTTCAGATTTACTGAAATCAAGTATATGTGTTAGAATGTAGTGTCTATACTTTAAACTGATATTCCACCAAACAAACCCTTCATCTTGGTGTTCTGAGCAGGCTAGAAGTTGCGTTATTAGCATGGTGTCGTGCATAGAGCTACCATTTCCCTATTTTCAGGGCATGACACTGAGTCTCTTGACAGGATTAATCTCCATCTTTGGTGTGGCTTTTTGATAATCCTTCACAGTTGATTGATTTGACTAGGACTGTATCTGTCTGGGAAAAGAGCAGATAGTAAAGATTCAATTGAGTTTCTCATTAAGACTTTCAGCCTTGGAAAATCAAGAAGCAGTGGCTGCTGAACGGTTTAAGGGATTCCTAGAAGAGATGCTTGTGCTGAAAACCATTATCATTACACTAGTTGTTTAATAGCACATAAATACTACAGGGTTGTTAAAGGCTACTGAGCTTGATAGTGTTTTCCTAGAGACTTGGCTGTGAGTTTTGGCCCATTAATACTGTGTCTGATGGTGTTTTGTCCTGAGACTTCTATTCAGACTTCTATTCTAAACCTGGCATATTGTCCACAGTAGCTAAACACCAAATAGCACATTGTACTTCAAGTTAAGGAGTGCTCACACAAAGTTCATCTGCCCATCAATAACCTTTCTGTCTACAAGAACATCATTATCAATGTAAAGTAGAACTACACGTATTGGCTTCCCAAGAAGTGGTTATTCAAAGTCCACACTCAAAAATGACAACTTTTTCTGCTTAGGAAAATCATTCCCATTTATTGATCTGCTAATCATATTTATTGCCAGTTTATATGCGTATTGAAATGATAGTCTGTCTGTCTGTCTCTTTGGGAACAGATTAATTCAAAGTCCACACTCAAAAATGACAACTTTTTCTGCTTAGGAAAATCATTCCCATTTATTGATCTGCTAATCATATTTATTGCCAGTTTATATGCGTATTGAAATGATAGTCTGTCTGTCTGTCTCTTTGGGAACAGATTA